ACGGGAGCCACCATTGGGCTGGTAAATATATCTGGTACTGACTGTGACGGGAGCCACCATTGGGCTGGTAAATATATCTGGTACTGACTGTGACGGGAGCCACCATTGGGCTGGTAAATATATCTGGTACTGACTGTGACGGGAGCCACCATTGGGCTGGTAAATATATCTGGTACTGACTGTGACGGGAGCCACCATTGGGCTGGTAAATATATCTGGTACTGACTGTGACGGGAGCCACCATTGGGCTGGTAAATATATCTGGTACTGACTGTGACGGGAGCCACCATTGGGCTGGTAAATATATCTGGTACTGACTGTGACGGGAGCCACCATTGGGCTGGTAAATATATCTGGTACTGGCTGTGACGGGAGCCACCATTGGGCTGGTAAATATATCTGGTACTGACTGTGACGGGAGCCACCATTGGGCAGAGTTCGCTGACCTTTTCACCTGTTTCCACAAAATATATTGATGGTAATTCATGAACTCGTGCTTATAATATTGTCGAAACCGTACAATGAATTCCACTTTCTCATCGATTTCTTTACATCACGGTTTTGTTTGTTACTATTTGTACCCTGATCTTCACAAAACATTGCAGAGAATGAGCACAACAATACAAACTGGACTGCGCATGTACCGCCTGGAGAGCAGGGCCCCGACTTGCTTCCTTCAGATCCACTCAATAGACGTGTTTGACAAAGACAGGAACCCAGCCTACACCCAGCCTATCATCGACTTCCTCAAGAATGCCTTGAACATTGACGGGAATAGGTGATTGGTTTGTAGTTCATAGTTACTGTGTGAAACGTATTTTAAGATGTTGGTCCTGTCGAAATATACAGACGGGTCTGATGATTCATAGTACGTGCTTCTACGGTTATATCTTAATATTCTAGTTGGTCCTTTGTTCAGGGGCGGTGGGGTAACCTAGTGGTTAAAGCGTTCGTTTGCTCGTCACGCCAAAGGCTCGGGTTCGAGTCCCCAGGTGGGTACAATGTGTGAATCCCCTGGAATACTGCTAAAAGCGGCGTAAAACTATACTCACTCACCCACTTTACGTAAATCATCATTCGTTGACACATGTCATCGCACCCCAACAGCTCATGCTGTTAATCACTGGATTGTCTGGTCCAGACTCGATTAAATTCAGACCGCCGCCATATAGCTGGGATATATTGCTTAGATCGGCCTTAAACAACAAACAAACAGTCTATTCAAACACATATTAAACTTTCAAACATGTAACGGTTTCTTCGAATAGTATTTAAATAACAGTTTCATGGTTATTTTTCAGAATTGTTATCCAGTATCTGCCGTTACACCTTCATAACGTTGGATTAGAAACCCCGTTGTAGATGTCGCAGGCAACACTGTCACCCCGTTGTACTTCACAGATGGTCGTCGGAGATGCGCCTGGGTGCTTACTTTGTACAGTGGATTAAAATCAGAACATATGTCACAAGTATTTGAATAAATATACAATTAAATACAATGTCTATGAAAGAAATTGTTTACCGATTCATGCAAGAACTGCTTTAATGACGTATCATCTGTTGCTAACGCTTGTTTCTGTTTCGTTTATCCAAGATATACGTTTATATGATAGTGAAACAGCACAGTGAGTGAGTGAGTTTAGTTTTACGAGTTTAGTTTTAGTTTTTAGCAATATTCCAGCTATATCACGGCGGGAGACACCAGAAATGGGCTTCACATATTGTACCCATGTGGGGAATCGAACCCGGGTCTTCTGCGTGTTGAACGAACGCTTTAACCCCTACGCTATCCCCCGGCCCGAAACAGTACAGTGTCCGACTGGTCAATGAGTGAGTGAGTTAAGTTTTACGCTGCACTCAGCAATATTCCAGTTATTTGGCGGCGGTCTGTAAATAATCGAGTCTGGATTAGACAATCCATAGCTGACTATTGGAAGTCATAGACCTAATTTTAGGTTGCAGTGGAAATTGTTGTGCACATATGGTTAGCAAAACTATGTGTTTCAATATGAAGGTCTCTTCATGTTTAGCTCAGGTAGGTAAATCAGAATCAGATATGACCTAGGACTGACTGACTGACTGAGTTTGGTTTAACGCCACTTTTAGCAATATCACGGCGGGGGACACCAGAAGTGGGCTTCACTCATTGTACCCATGTGGGGAATCGAACCCGGGTCTTTGGCGTGACGAGCAAACGTTTTAACCACTAGACTACCCCACCGCCCCTATGATTTAGGAGACTATGCGGGTTGGTTTCTCTGTTGTTTAACGCCGCACTCATCAATACTCCAGCTATGTGGCGGGGGCCGGTAAATACTCGAGTGTGGACCACAAAATCCAGTGATTAACATTATGAACATCGATGTACGCATTTGGGATACTATGTGTCAACCAAGTCAGCGCGCCTGACCACCCGATCCTGTTAGTCGCCTCTTACGACAAGTATGGGTTGCTACAGAGGATGGGGATGCTTTCTGAAGTAAACCAACAAATATTTACTTGCTTCTACCAGATTTTGTCATAAATGGTGGTCAAATGGTATTTTTCTTATTTAGGAATGGACAACTTTAAATGTCAGTGGACATAAAAGATGTCAGATGTAAACAGCGCTGATATGAAAACAGAGTTCCAGTAGTTAGCAAGTCTCTCAATAACAAAGACTTAATACTTGCCATAAATATCATTGTACAACATTATTCTTCCATATGGTATGTTGGATTCACATATGCCTTGCCTTAATACTTGCCATAAATATCATTGTACAACATTATTCTTCCATATGATATGTTGGATTCACATATGCCTTGCCTTAATACTTGCCATAAATATCATTGTACAACATTATTCTTCCATATGATATGTTGGATTCACATATGCCTTGCCTTAATACTTGCCATAAATATCATTGTACAACATTATTCTTCCATATGATATGTTGGATTCACATATGCCTTGCCTTAATACTTGCCATAAATATCATTGTACAACATTATTCTTCCATATGATATGTTGGATTCACATATGCCTTGCCTTAATACTTGCCATAAATATCATTGTACAACATTATTCTTCCATATGATATGTTGGATTCACATATCCTTGCCTTAATACTTGCCATAAATATCATTGTACAACATTATTCTTCCATATGATATGTTGGATTCACATATGCCTTGCCTTAATACTTGCCATAAATATCATTGTACAACATTATTCTTCCATATGATATGTTGGATTCACATATGCCTTGCCTTAATACTTGCCATAAATATCATTGTACAACATTATTCTTCCATATGATATGTTGGATTCACATATGCCTTGCCTTAATACTTGCCATAAATATCATTGTACAACATTATTCTTCCATATGATATGTTGGATTCACATATGCCTTGTCAATCTGTGGTTCAATGTTGAGTGAGTGAGTTTAGTTTTACACCGCACTCAGCAATATTCGAGCTACATGGCGGCGGTCTGTACATAATCGAGTCTGGACCAGACAATCATGTGATCAACAGCATGAGCATCTATATGTGTAATTGGGAACCGATGAGGTGCGTGGGTCAATGTGGAGGCTGATAGATACAACAGTACTGTAGTAAGCAAAAGGCTTGATGAATTGCTCTATTGCATTTATTGAGTAGTGAGTGTATGGCTTCAAGTGGACAGACCGCAAATGAAAATAACCAGCATAAACATATTACCTTCCAGTATATTGTTTTATGGGGGATTTCTTTTCAATGTGAAGTTTAAACTTTCAAAACGTCTGAAAATTAGATAGCATTCTCCAAATCTAACAGAAAATTAATCTGAAAATAATTTCTTTCCTACTGTTAGTCTGGCTGACTCAATACACTCACTGGTACATACTACATTTCAGTTTTGGCTTATCCAAAGTTAAAAAAAATCATAGATTGGCTTTCTGGTCTATCGGCAACTACGCTGAAAAGGAAGAAAACCATATTTCGACAAAGGCTAAGCCTTCTGAGAAGTGTTGTCAAATACATGTGACATGTGTGCGATCGATCGGGCTACCAGAATACACAGTTGCAGTTCTTTGTTCATAACACATTAAATTAGCCAGAAATGATGTGACATCAGTGTTGCCGGGTCTACTAGTATGAAACGCCGATCTGATGCGCGTCTGTTGGCAGGTATTGCATGATGATTCTGAAACAAGTAAATCTTCGTTAAATAGACTGACGTACAAAAGAAAGTACACACCTGATGTTTTGGGATTATTTGAAAAGTGTTCTGATTTTGACTGGCAACTTCACAATTGGGCACAATATCTGTGGTGTTTTGGCAGCATATTAGGAAAGTCTGTGACGTATATATCACTGTAAAAACTCTTTTCAAAACATTTACGTCGCCTTTGGGAAAGTAATCCAAAAGCACCGGGTGTATACTTTCTTTTGTACGTCAGTGTAGAGATCCATGATTTCCATATTGTCAGTTGCTGATGTGAAGGTCGCCTACTATGTTTAGATGGGAGAACATTTAAGGGGTGAGCATTCTCAGCTAGAAACTGATGTGTTTCAGTCTGCTTTCCAAACTGGACTTAGGTGTCTGGGCTCCTGAAGTTTTAAACGCAAAGTAAGACCTGTATAAAATAAACGATTCTTATGATATGCCCCATTACTCCTCACGCCCTTAGTAATTTTAAAAATAAATTTGAAGTATGTTTAAAACCTTCTCAAACAAAATTTGGTTTTGTGTCTATTTATCTACGGTGGACTGTGTGTGGGGGTCCACATTAAAATATTGTACTTCACTAACCGAAGGTTCAGTATATACACATACACGTACACATACACACAGATACATAAACATATACAATATACATATATTAATATATTAAACTAATGGTTATGGGATTGATCATTCTTATAAAGTTTATTTGTAGGACTTTCGAGACTTTCAGTTCAAAATGCCTTGGATGTAAAAACTAGACTGGATGAAATTAAAATCTAACACATTTAACAGATTCCCAGTTTTCAGACGAGATTGTGATCAGTGACCACTGACCTTTCAGCCTGAAGTTTGAGGTTGGTCTTCAGGAAGTCTAATATGGGCGCTTTGTACGTAGGGTTCCTGTCCTTGTCGAAAGCGCCGATGCAGGTGATCTGGAGGAAGCAGGCGGGGTCGGTGTTGTGCAGGCGGAACTGACGCAGTTGAGTTGCTGGAACACGACATCAGAACGACAATTTAGTTTGAAATGATGCTTGAGGGAAATGTTTTGCAGATAAAATAATCATATTTCACAGCTTCCTTTTTCTGTACGAATACCATCCCATCCATGTTGTCCAGTTATATGACCGTATTGTAGAACATGGACAGTTCAGTCCATAATAGTGGCTACCAAGACTCATCCTATTGCAAGAAACATGTAGGTCGTGTATACTTGGCAGCTCTCGATGTTAATTCCATAATCGTGGCTACCAAGACTCGTCACATTGCAACCAGATTGCAGGTAATGTAATAACATATCACTTCCCCATTGTTCACAATAACAACCTATTTGTGGTTTATTCAGACATAGCCAGAAATATTGTGGACATTCAAGAAATGGACCTGGCGTGACAATGACTTCAGTTAGTTGGGTTCCAAGGCTTCCCAGAAGAATAAAACGAGCATTTGGTTCATCGTCTCGCGCAAATTGATCGTTTTGAAGCAGACCACTGTCAACCAGACACAAACACTGTGCCAACACTGGAAACTAGCCAACAGCTTGTTCACCTCGTAATGTGATAGCTGGTTACTTATATTACCCACCTATATTATAAGAATAAATCTATAAAATCTGTCCAGCTAAGGAACTGCTTTCGACATCAAATTTGGAATTTTCCCCTTACGTCTACCATAAAACATATCAACCAAGAATACATCTTTAAATTCTGTATACTTTTCGAGTCTTTTATCTTCGTTTGTGTTCATGGATTGTAGAAAGAGAATTGCTCGATGGTCAGTGTTATCATTGGTAAGAATCTACCAATTCCATAAGCATTTTCTTAACAAAAAGACATCTTCGAATTCTGAAAGTCCAAATATGGAATTGCTTCTGACATCAAATTTAGAATGTCATCCATATAACCATTTGAAGGCTTTGGTAAGGAACTGACACGTTATAATCCTGATAAAGAGCTTTTGAGCAAAGCGTCGTATGACGAAATCCCTGTAGAAAGAGCAAGCTAGATGTACCTCAAAGACGTAAAATGCAGACACCCAAAGGAGCTGCTGTCATAAAGCTCGACATTAACAGGTGACCAAGGAATACCCTAGAATATATCAATTTTCGGCCAATATTTTGCAATTGTGTGAGAGAGTATTCTTAAAAATGAATAGTGTTTTCTGTTTAACTCTACTCATTTGGGGTGCATTTGTAAAGGTTTTTAATTATAGTTTTCAAAGAAAATATTTCAGTAAATTTGGAGAACTGAACGTATTCATACGGAATGACAGCAGGTAACTTGCTCTTACACAGCTACAGTAACATGGCTATATTGGTCAAGAGGCAGTAGTTAAAAGGGTTTTCTTCTCACAGATGGGGCGGTGGGGTAGCCTAGTGGTTAAAGCGTTCGTCACGCCGAAGACCCGGTTTGATTCCCCAGATGGGAACAATGTTAGAAGCCCATTTCCGGTGTCTCCCGCCGTGATATTGCTGGAATATTGCTAAAAGCGGCGTAAAACCATACTCGTTCGCTCCTATCACAGATACTACCGTTATATTTTTGGAATACCTCTGAAGGCCGCCCAATACAGTATCAAAGGTAAAAACATCAATTAGAAAATATATATAAATATGTCAAATGTTTTGCCTGAACTTAGAAAATATTAATCGAATTAGCCTCTCAGTCCTACAGATAAGAACAGGTCCATCGATTTGTGGTTGCGTGAGCATATGTCCTACCTCCATGGGTCTGTCCAGGACTTTAGCAATCAGCTCTGCGAGTCTGGTCTCCAGTTGTGGGGGTATGTCCGTGTCTTTTAGGTTGGTGTACAACACACACATCGGCATGATGACGTCAGGGTGGACGTAGACAGCAAGAAACAAACTGCAACAAAAAAAATTATTTTTAATGTAATAATATCCTGGCTACGCTCTTAAGAAACAAAACACATCGGCAAATTTTGAAAAACTGTACTTTTATTTGAAGTGATACATGAGTGAAACTAGTCACGTGTTCTGTAGGTATGGCAATTCTGACTACCTGTCTGAAGACAAATACGTTCATGGATGGAATTGTGGGTTGGGTGGGGAGGGGTGGGAAGGCGCTTGTGTACAAATCAGTGCCCAATGTGGTCATCGTGTGCTATTAACCAAACTTTCCTTGTCCACGGATTCTGTCCTGTAAAGTTTTCCGTTTCAACTCTGCACAGGAATGTAGATGCCTTTGACGACTTTGTTAGATTCATCAATGAGATATGCACGCTGGTACATCCTGAAGATGCGGACATTGAGAGACGTATCAGATGATTACAGTGATGTACGATAGAGGCGTGGACCATGGTGCGCCCATCATCAAACAAAGCTCCTTTGAGCAGCTAGGCTGATATTGGCGCTAAACATACATTAGTATGATGAAATATTAGTACAACCAATGACCCGAAAGTAGATACAGATATAAACGTGTGGCGTACACAATGATAGACCAATATGGATCTATCGACAATGATAAACCCATCATGGGCAGAGGGTCAATGATAGACCCATTATGGATCTATAGACAATGATAAACCCATTATGGTCTGAGGGTCAATGATAGACCCATTATGGATCTATGGACTATGATAAACCCGTCATGGTCAGAGGGACAATGATAGACCCATTATGAATCTATGGACAATGATAAACCCATCATGGTTAGAGGGACAATGATAGACCCCTTATGGATCTATGGACAATGATAAACCAATCATGGTTAGAGGGACTCTGATAGACCCATTATGGTCAGAGGGACAACAACAGACCCATTATGGATCTATCGACAATGATAAATCCATCATGGTCAGAGGGACTCTTATAAACCCATTATGGATCTATGGGCAATGATAAACCCATCGTGGTTAGAGGGACTCTGATAGACCCAGTATGGTCAGAGGGACAATAACAGACCCATTATAGATCTATGGACAATGATAAACCCATCATGGTCAGAGGGACTCTTATAGACCCATTATGGATCTATGGATAATGATAAACCCATCATGGTCCGAGGGACGATGATAGACCCATAATGGATCCATGGACAATGGCAGACCCATCATGGTCCCAGGGACAATGATAGACCCATTATGTATCTATGGACAATGATAAACCGATCATGGTCCCAGGGACAATGATAGACCCATTATGGATCTATGGACAATGATAGACCCATTATGTAACTATGGACAATGATAAATCCATCATGGTCAGAGGGACAATGATACACCCATTATGGATCTATGGGCAATGATAAACCCATCATGGTCAGAGACACTCTGATAGACCCATTATGGATCTATGGACAATGATAAACCCATTATTGTCAGGGGGGCAATGACAGACCCATTATGGATCTATAGACAATGACAGACCCATTATGGATCTATGGACAATGATAAACCCGTTATGGATCTATGGACAATGATAAACCCATCATGGTCAGATGGACTCTTATAGACCCATTATGGATCTATGGACAATGATAAACCCAGCATGGTCCGAAGGACAATGACAGACCCATTATGTATCTATGGACAATGATAAACCCATCATGGTCAGAGGGACAATGATAGACCCATTATAGGTCTATGGACAATGTGAAAACCCATCATGGTCAGAGGGACTATGGCAGAGCCATTATGGATCTATGGACAATGACAGACCCATTATGGTCAGAGGGACAATAACAGATCAATTATGGATCTATGAACAATGATAAACCCGTTATGGATCTATGGACAATGATAAACACATCATGATCAGAGGGACAATGATAGACCCATTATGGATCTATGGACAATGATAAATCCATCATGGTCAGAGGGACTCTGGCAGACCCATTATGGATCTATGGAGAATGATAAACCCATCGTGGTCAGAGGGACTATGGCAGAGCCATTATGGACCTATGGACAATGACAAACCCATCATGGTAAGAGGGACAATGACAGACCCATAATGTATCTATGGCCAATGTAATACCCATCATGGTCAGAGGGTCTCTGACAGACCCATTATGGATCTATGGACAATGATAAACCCATCATGGTCAGTGGGACTATGGCAGAGCCATTATGGATTTATGGACAATGGCAGACCCATCATGGTCAGAGGGACAATGACAGACCCATTATGGATCTATGGACAATGATACACCCATCATAGTCAGAGGGACAATGATAGACTCATTATGGTTCTATGGACACTTATGAACCCACCAATGTTATAAGGACAATTACAGACCCATAATGCTATACTGGATATATGAACAACAGTAGACCCATCATGGATCTATGGACAATTGCAGACCCACCATCGTAATGGGATCTATGGACAATGATAAACCCATAGAGGTTAAAAAGACAACAATATAGCAGTCATGGACATGCACACAATGATAAACCCATCATAGATATGTGGACAATGATACACCCATCATAGTCAGAGGGACAATGATAGACCCATCATGGATCTATGGACAATTACAGACCCGCCATGGTAATAGAATCTATGGACAATGATAAACCCATAGAGGTTAAAAGGACAACAATATAGCAGTCATGGACATGCACACAATGATAAACCCATCATAGATATGTGGACAATGATACACCCATCATAGTCAGAGGGACAATGATAGACCCATCATGGATCTATGGACAATTACAGACCCACCATGGTAATAGAATCTATGGACAATGATAAACCCATAGAGGTTAAAAGGACAACAATATAGCAGTCATGGACATGCACCCATCATAGATATGTGGACAATGATACACCCACCATAATCAGAGGGACAATGATAGACCCATCATGGGCATGCACACAATGATAAACCCATCATAGATATGTGGACAATGATACACCCATCTTTGTGATGTGGACAATGATAAACCCATCATAGATATGTGGACAATGATAGACCCATCATAGATATGTGGACAATGATACACCCATCTTTGTGATGTGGACAATGATAAACCCATCATAGATATGTGGACAATGATAGACCCCATCTTTGTGATGTGGACCATAACAGGACCTGAAGGTGAAAATCGAACTATACATCGAGTTCCACTTCACGAGTGTTAAAATGGCGTACGGGGTACAACGTAATTAAATTATACGTTTTGAACGTCGTGTATTCAGCGTATTCAAATTGTATTCAGTACATTTGGGTCAATTTCAATGATATATATCCTATTATATACAATGAGTGAGTGAGTGAATTAAAATTTAACGTCACATCGGCATTATTGCAGCTATATCGTGACGAGGATTTGAATAATAAATAATGTAGTAATAAATAGAGTCAAATTATAAAACCCTCACAACGAAGGACAGTAAAATAACTAGAGGATCACACGTATAGATATAAAACTAGTAGGAATATACTAAAACCTTTTTGCGATAGAAGATAATAAAATATAAAAACAGGCTATATATTGCCAACAACTGAAGGTAGATCACCATACTAGGGACTATGGGGACTTACAGAACATTTGCTTCCTGCATGGACCCTAGCTGGATTTAAACGATCCCTTCAGCCGTTAGCAATTCAGTCAAATCTAGCCCGATTATATACAAGATCTATCCGATTTTTATATAAACTTCTTTAATGTGGATATAAATGCGCTCCACGATTTGAAAAGGAACAACATTTAAGTAACAACCATGACAGATTTTGAAACAATACACTTACCAGGATCAGCCCTTCGCGCTACTCCCAACGAAAGCAAATGTCTGAACTGTCACCGTGTTCATACATATACTGCCAAACTTACAAGGGTTCAATAACATAACAATTGAAAGGATTTATGACAGACTATGACAATGTTTAAAGCAGATGTTCGCTGAAACAGAGGGTTTTTCAACTGTTAGTGAGTAATACGTGTCTGGGACTTTGACAAATGGTCGTAATTTTAAAAATACACGTGCAGAAACAAAAAGGGCTGTTGAATGTAGAATCAATAAGAACTTTGTCGACTGTAACAACTGAACAGCTGTGAATGCAAACTCGATGTAATTTGTTATCAGATTGAAATATAATCATCTGCGTTTTTACAAATCTGTTAATATCAGTTTTTTAGTTTGAAAATTCGCGTGAATTGTGTTGTTACCAGATGAAAAAATTACAAAGTAATTTTCATTTAATTTGTTGATTAATAATAAACACATGAACCACAACCAATGGCATCAGTGACATCAAGCTCACACAAGCTGTTTCACAGGCTCCTGTAGAATACATTTGGGTTTTTTTGTATTGTATTGACACGTGTATTTTGTCTGTATGCTGCATAAATTCAATATATGCTACAGTTATATAAACATAAATGATATTAATATTACAGTGAGTGAGCTTTACGCCGCTTTTAGCAATATTCCAGCAATATCATTGGCTTCACACATTGTACCCATTGTACATCGAACCCGGGTCTTCGGCGTGACGAGCGAACGCTTTAACCACTAGGCTATCCCACCGCTCCTCTAATATTACAAGACTTCATGTATGGTATTTTATACTTGCAATTTCAAACTGAATACCCTCACATTTCCTTAGTAATGAATGGCAGCATTTGTTGTCGCGTGATTACCTGATAACTGGTCACACAAATAACATACACTTGTGTAGTGGTTAGAGCGTCCGCCCGGAGAGCGGAAGGTCGCGGGTTCGATCCCCTACCGCGTCATACCAAAAGACGTTAAAATATAGTACTTGTTGGTCCCTGCCTGGCGCTCGGCATTAATGGGCACAACAAGGACTGGTTGGCTCGGAGTCAGTATAATGTGTCTGAGTGGGGTATTCA